TATATATACACACACACATATACACACACACACACACACACACACACACATATATATATATACACACACACACACACACATATTAAAAAAAAACCACAAAAAACAACTGTTCCTGGGCAGTGGGCTCCAGACACCTTTATGTGCAGCTGGAGTGGGCAGCACAGGCCTTTTCATGTAACAGGAGCTAAAGGCTGGCAAGGCAGCCAGGGTGCAGGGGAAAGACAGTCAGCCCTGGCAGCTGCTGCCATGACAACAGTCTCCAGGGGCGTGGCCGTTCTATAAGGGATCTGAGGAAACCCACAGGTTTCTGGTTCAGGGATTCCTGTACCCTGGTGAGGCTACACTTCTGCAGCATGATCAGAGCCCTCCTCCCTCTGAGCCCCTCTACAGCACAGACTCCTTGGAGATCTGATTTCAGTTTTCACGGCCAGTCAGCCTGGAGTTGAGTTCTGCTCTCCAGCTCTGAAGTTTCTCCCGCTGCCGCTGCCTCTGCATTCTTTCCTAGTGACACCCATGGCAGTTCTTTGGTCTCAAGACTTGCTAATGTGGGCTACACTAGGCCTTGTCCACGCTGTGGCTCTCAGACTCTCCTCCCCCACCTCCACCCCAGAGGAAATGGTCAAGTGGGAAATGCAATGACTAGAGCCTTCTCTTTTCTGCTTCTGGCCTTATCCTACCAGGGCCTACACACACACCCTGTACTTGCCCAGAGAAACAAGGAAGGGTCTTTGAGGAAATGTGGGATAACAACTGAGGCTGCTAGGAAATACTCAGGCCCGGGGAAGGCAGGGCCAATCTGGGTCAAAGGGAGGCAACACCAGGCTCTGGGCTGGGCAGGACTTGGGCTGTCACTCACTCGCTGGAGGGCTCTGGAGGCCTGGGAGTCTTCTACCCCTCTCTGTGCTTCTATGTTCTCCTTTCTAAAATGTAGAGCAATGAGTTGTGGTAGAAAAATGAATGAGATCCCCCCCCCCAGCTCTAGGATGCTACTACTCCATGCTGTCCACCGTGGTGAGGGGGGGCTTCTCGTAGAAACACCACTAGGGCTGAGTGGGGACCTCTGTATTCTGTGGCTGCTGCTGCCTTTCCCAGGATCTAGAAGAGCTCAGAGCATAGACCTCATCATATGCTGGCCTTCTCTGCTGGACTCTGACACACTCACAGCTTTATTCTTAGCCTTTCAGAGACTCAAAAGGGCCTAGACACCAATCTGATGTCTGGGTGACAGGTTGGGACAGAGGCA